TACCTTTGACCTTTTTCTCTGTTGTGGTTCAATTTTATCCTTGGTTTAATTTTTATTTTCTTTTGTTTCAAACTCATTATCACAAACTATCATACCCAAAAACAAAAGAAAATAAAAATTAAACCAAGGATAAAATTGAACCACAACATCTCCAAATAAAACTGATAAAAAACTGATAAAAAAAAAAAGAGCTTGGGTCCCCCAAGGTCCCAAGTCCCCACGGGTGTTTGAACACCCCCCAGGTTCCTCTCACAATGTGAACTCAAGATGGCGGCCATCGCCTCATTTGTGAATCCTTCAGCTCTTGGTTTCATCTAATTTTCCCTCGTGTAATTTGGTCAAAACGGCAAGGTCCTGTTACTAAAGGTAAGAAAACCTTAAATACATTATGGGTACGTTAGTTGTGATAGTGAAATGCTGATTCGGTACTGATAACGAACACACTGATGACCTGAAATGAACAAGACCAGAGACTAGACGCAAATTTATAAAAGTGTGAAAGTGGTTCGCAACATCAATCGCACCTCTAAGGTAACCGCAAATATTTGCCTTCACGTCCTAACCATTGGCTACTGGACAGTATTTTCCAGTGCAAGCAATGTTTCTTATAAAGAATATTGAGTGTAATATGTAAAATGAATTTTGCTACAAATGTATCTGTCCAAAGCCACATAAATAATGTACTTGACTTCCAGTAATAACATTTTTTGCCAATTTAAATTTTTATGTATTTTAACGGTTGAAATTATCGATTATCAAAATCAATTTTAATTGGTGGTTTACAGCCTCCCAGGGGGGCTTATTTATATCAAACTTGTTTGAGGAGGAGGGGGGGTGGGGAGAGCTAATACACGTAGAGATTGGGGTCTTATTTGAGAGAAGGGGCTTATTTAATAATTAGAAAAGACAATGGGATCGGTGCTTGATAAAGAACTATAACACCAAGTGGAAAAGCTCAAGTACAAGAAGCGGAAGGCCCGTCTGCAAAGGATCAAAAACAAATCCAAACTTCCACTTGGTGGATAAACCATCCTGGATCTGTCCACATGAAGTTTAACAGTCGTGATTGATTAATACAGTCTGTTATTTATTGCCAACGAGCCATGCGAGCGAAGACGCTCGGATGGCGAGGCGGCAGCAGAATAGAGCCGTGTAAGACTGGGCAATAGGCAGAAAAATTCTCGATCGAGCTGAAAAAAGTGTAACCCAATGTAATGTAGATTCCCCTGAGACCAAGTGGTCAATTGTGAACCAATCAAAAGGCAGTACCTGGCGCACGGGCTCAAGCTGAATAACAAACAAAATTTCACACACTTCCCGCCGTCGTGACTTCCTGTGTTTATTTACCTAAATTTTTTTGTCAAACCCGGCCACCACAGTCAAGAGACATGAGCACTTGATATATTCTATTAATTTTAGGGGCCATAATGTTAAGTTTTAACGAAGAGAAGTATGTAAAACAGCAAAAGTGTTCTATGTGCAGCAAGCAATATTCTCACCACTAAAAAGGATCAGATTACACGAGGAGATAAGGAAAGCTTGACACGAAGAATGCAGTTGCTTCTGTTGGAAAATCTGGTGTTGGGGAAAAAATCTAACCAGCAAACAAAAACAATGAGAACAAAAACGAATTACAAGCCTAAAGCGAACGACAAAGGAAAAGCAAACAACGCCATTATTTTCGAAACCTGGCCGAGTTCAGTATAAAAATAATGAGCTAAAATTAAATACCGACGTGCCGTACATTGCATGTCCTTGAAAACATTTCAGATGACCCAGCGAATCATTCTAAGCTTCAATCCGATAACAAAAAGCCTCGGGAAATTTGAAAGGAGGTTTAAATGATTAAACTGTGCAAATATTTATCAACAATGTGAAACCAAACCGACAGTAGATTTGTAGCTGGACTTAATAATATTCCCGATCGCTTCCTTTGCAAAGCTGACTTTATTCTGTCAAGGCACTTCGCACTTTTACATAGCAGGTTTGTAAAGCCACCAGACTGAATCTGAGAACTTTTCAAGAAAATAATCCTTGCAACAGGAAGGGACCAAGAAACGGTCAAATGGGAAAAAAAGGAATTTTATTCCTAAGCAAAATACGCATGATTTCCTCGTTGGCACTCTATCGATAGGTATACCTAGTTTATAAAGAATAATAATACAGGATAAGAGGGAGGGCTTAATTAACAATTAATGAATGAGGCTGAGTATCTTATGAAGAATTATGGAGATCGAGGAGGGTGTTATCCATCGAGGCGGTAGGCCGAGGCGGTTAACACTCTCCGAGACCCTTCGAGTTGTCTTCTTGCTGTTCCTGCCATGTTTTGAGCTATTTTCTCGCCTAGTTCTTACTCTTGAAACAAGTGAAATGTCTGCCATTTTTCATGGTCACAAGCAGAACAACTCAACCTCGTCCCCAGGTCTTCTTGGTTAACCGTGCCTTAACCTGCGAAAACGCTGCATTTTTGACGTCTTTTCCTCGTTAAACACAAAATTCTTCCAAATTTGGTCATCAGTAACTGGTTATGGTGAATTGAATGTGTGCTTTTAGCCAATCAGAATCGGGAAAATATTTTGAATGAATAATAATAGGTCTTATTAACTTTCTTCCCCTGAAAAGCGGGGTGGGGGTATTGAGACGGGGTTAATAGAAGATTTACTGTACTTAGATAAAAATCCATTAAAATCCATAATAAATTATCAATAATTTAATAGCAGCAGTGTTTTCCGTTACCAATTTTTATCTATTTCAAATTTAGTCAATTCATTTTGTCAATAGTTGTTGATTGTTACTGATTTAATATCAACTTTATTGATGTCACTTGTCAGGATAAATATTAAAAAAAGTATCAACTGCTTGAGTAGAACTGACCATGCTAATAGCCCCCTTAAGTCTTTTTAACAAGTGGCATTTTAAAAATTGTATATGACCAAAACTTTAATTTTTAACACTTCAAAACATGTATCGGAAATTAGCAATCATCAAAAAACTTGAAAATGCTTTTTTGTCTTCCTCTTCAAAACACACACATTTAACTTAAAAAAAGTCTGCCCTTTTACGCAGACAAATTGGCATGTATGATGTAGAGTAAATTGCTTCTCAACTCAACGTGGCAGCAAATACATTGTAAGAATTGTCATTGTCAAGAACCCCTCAATCATCGTCACAAACACAAATTAATGACCAGAATCATACACATGAGGTGGGTAAGAAAATTGGAAAAGGTATTGGCCTTCTGTTTAAAGTTAGAGATTTTGTCACTAATGATATTCTCATCCAATAATTATATTACTCCTTAGTGTACCCTTTCCTAACATATGGCTTAATATTCTGGGGTAATACTTGTTCTACAACTCTAAGCCCTGTTTTAGTTTTACAGAAAAAGGCAGTGTGAATAATTACGTAATTATTGTGATGCTCATCCTAGCCCACTGTTTTCACAGCTAGGTTTAATCAAGCTCATGGATCTTGTGACTATTCATACTGCCCTTTTTGTGTTTCAATTTCATCACAATCTACTACCTAAGGCTTTTGACAATTTCTTGTCACTTATATCATCTAAGCATGGGTATGGTACTAGGCTAGCATCAAAGTCAACTTATTATATTGATCAGGTCAGAACTAATTATGCCCAATTTAATATACACTTCTCTTGTCCTTCTGTCTGGAATAATCTCAATGGAAATTTAAAAAACAGTTGTTTGAATCTATTTAAGCAAACGATGAAGGCAGATATTTTATCAACCTACTTCTGATGCTGGCCAGCATAGAATAACTTACCCTTATTAATGCACCCTTTGCAATTCTCTGGCACCATTTTTGTTTTTGTTTGTCTGTCTGTTTGTTTTTTTCTCTTTTATAATGTTCTATTTTATCTTAAATATATTAGTAAATTAATTAATTTTTTTAAACACGTTTTTTCTCCTAAATTTATGATATTTTTCCTCTCTTTCTTTCATGTATTGCAAACCTACTCAGCTTGTTTAGTTCTTTTTGCTATTCTGCTATTCTGAGTAGTTTTTTGGCCTGATCTATTTTTATTTATGCTGTTCTTGTAAATGTTTTAAGTTGGCCAAAAAATTTGGAATCAGAAGAGAAGGCTGAGCAAATCAACTGATGTCACATCACATCATCATGAAGGGGGAAAAAGCAGTTTTGGGGCAGCCAAACTTCCAGAAATCTTTTTGGGAGACACATGTTTCCCGTTGAAACTAATGTTACATGTAATTTAACTTTTCAAAGGACCAAAATCAGTTGAAAAACGTTTGGTGTCATAAACACCTTTTAAAGAGAGTCATAATAGTGATTTAAAATCAGTGAATTCCTTCTCGTGGTTGGTTGGTTGTTTCCTTGTCGAAAACAGGAAGTCAGAACTGTAACATTAGTCTGATTCTTCCTTCCTGCAATTGGTCATGGGTTCCACTATACTGTATTGTCTGTATTAATGCTCTATAATGAGCCTTTATCACCAATAATTATTGTAAATGTTTGTGAGGGGACTCTCAGATCTGAATACAAAGTCAACATTAGGTAAACTGTCTCCTGTCAATGAAATCTCCCTTTTGAAGCAATCATGTAAATTTTTAGGTATGCAGTCAGATGATGCATGGTCGGAAACCACCTTTTTCTTGAGCCGTTGTTCTTAGTTTTTTGTTCGTAATTTCCAATTTATTTTCCAAATATCCCTCTCAACTTTTTTTTTTTTTTTTTTTTTTCGCACACACAAACAATTACAATACATTACATTTAGAATTACAATTACAACTTTTAAACTATTTGTTACAGACCTTGTTTTCACTTGCTGGCGGCAAAATTTGTTCAATACGTTGCCCAAAAACATACAAAGAATGTTACATTTACCTAATAATGTTTGTCCTTCCTATTAAAAGGTACCCCAACCATAACACCTTAAAAGACGAACAAGCTCAATGTCCTTTGAGCGCCAGCAGTGCGGCAAGCGTTTTAGCCAAGCAGGACACCTAAGGACTCTTGAAAGAGTCCACACTGGGGAAAAGCCTTTTGAATGTACACAGTGTGGTAAGTGCTTTAGTGAGCCAGGAGACCTAAGGAATCGTGAACGAGTTCACACTGCGAAAAAGCCTTTTGAATGTAAAGAGTGTGGCAAGTGCTTTAGCGTAGCAGTACTCTTAAGTCGTCATAAGAGAGTTCACACTAGGGAAAAGCCTTTTGAATGTAAACAGTGTGGCAAGTGTTTCAGTCATGCAGGAAACCTAAGGAGTCATGAAAGAGTTCACACTGGGGAAAAGCCTTTTGAATGTAAACAGTGTGGCAAGTGCTTTAGCAAGGCAGGAGTCTTGAAGAGTCATGAAAGAGTTCACACCGGGGAAAAGCCTTTTGAATGTAAACAGTGTGGCACGTGTTTTAGTCAAGTAGGAAATCTAAGGAGTCATGAAAGAGTTCACACTGGGGAAAAGCCTTTTGAATGTAAACAGTGTGGCAAGTGCTTTAGCGAAGCAGGACAGTTAAGTCGTCATAAGAGAGTTCATACTGGGGAAAAGCCTTTTGAATGTAAACAGTGTGGCAAGTGTTTTAGCGCAGCAGGAAGCTTAAAGATACATGAAAGAGTTCACACTGGGGAAAAGCCTTTTGAATGTAAACATTGTGGTAAGTGTTTTAGTATTGCAGGACACCTAAGGACTCATGAAAGAGTTCACACTGGGGAAAAACCTTTTGAATGTAAACAGTGTGGCAAATGTTTTAGTCAAGCAGGAAACCTAAGGAGTCATGAAAGAGTTCACACTGGGGAAAGCCTTTTGAATGTAAAGGGTGTGGCAAGTGCTTCAGTGTAGCAGGACACTTAACTCGTCATAAGAGAGTTCATACTGGGGAAAAGCCTTTTGAATGTAAACATTGTGGCAAGTGTTTTAGTGTTGCAGGACAGTTAAGTCGTCATAAGAGAGTTCATACTGGGGAAAAGCCTTTTGAATGTAAACAGTGTGGCAAGTGCTTTAGCGAAGCAGGACAGTTAAGTCGTCATAAGAGAGTTCATACTGGGGAAAAGCCTTTTGAATGTAAACAGTGTGGCAAGTGTTTTAGCGCAGCAGGAAGCTTAAAGATACATGAAAGAGTTCACACTGGGGAAAAGCCTTTTGAATGTAAACATTGTGGTAAGTGTTTTAGTATTGCAGGACACCTAAGGACTCATGAAAGAGTTCACACTGGGGAAAAACCTTTTGAATGTAAACAGTGTGGCAAATGTTTTAGTCAAGCAGGAAACCTAAGGAGTCATGAAAGAGTTCACACTGGGGAAAAGCCTTTTGAATGTAAAGGGTGTGGCAAGTGCTTCAGTGTAGCAGGACACTTAACTCGTCATAAGAGAGTTCATACTGGGGAAAAGCCTTTTGAATGTAAACATTGTGGCAAGTGTTTTAGTGTTGCAGAACAGTTAAGTCGTCATAAGAGAGTTCATACTGGGGAAAAGCCTTTTGAATGTAAACAGTGTGGGAAGTGTTTTAGTCGAGCAGAAAGCCTAAGGAGCCATGAAAGAGTTCACACTGGGAAAAAGCCTTATCAATGTAAAGAGTGTGGCAAGTTTTTTAATCAAGGAAGTAACCTGACGAAGCATGAAAGAATCCACACTCTATTAAAGTCGCCTAAATTTTCTCAGAAAATGGAAATTCTGTCTAAACGTTTGGAATCATGTAAGCTGAAGAGAGCAGAGGGTAAAAACGTTGCTGTTAGGGCCACAGACTTAACAAACAACCTGGCAACACACAGAGAGACTGGAAACAGTGATGTAGGAGACCCACAATCAGTCATCGTCACTGAGAAACACAGCTGTTGGATTTGTCAAGAGGAGATGAGTAGTGAGGCTCTTCTTCTTCAACATTATGAACATCATATGACCTATGTTTGTGAAGATGATTCTTAAAGTTAAAATGCGTTTCGGTTCTTGTAATTTTTTCACTTTTGGTTTCTTTTCGGTTCTCTGGCCACATTTTTCTGATTTCAACTGGAAACGTTTAGTTTTGTTTAAAGCTTGTTACTTTCATACCTGCGATACATTTCATGCCTACGATTATCAGGTACTATACTTATGAACGATAAAAGAACAGCTTATGTGTCTTAAACAAACTAAAACCCAGGTTTTAGCCTCACTTACAGCGGGTTATAAGTGGTTTGTCTTCTACATACCATTTACGGTAATTAATATAACAACTGAAGTGTTTCTGAACCCACAGCTGTAAGAACATAATAAAAACAAGACTATAGCATATGGACGAAAGTGAAAAAAGCATTCCTTAAAAAAATCTCATTCGAAGATTCGTAAAGCGAGAAGTAATAAATGCATGCCTTTGGAGAATTTTCGGCGGTACTTAATTTCTTTGAAAGTTTCTCGGAAAATAACGCGCCTAAGAAAGAGAAAAGCAAATTGCGCCATCATCACGTCATTTCCATTTTTCCGTCTTGTAAACAGCTCCTGCTCTGTATTTCTCCCGACTAATCAACGCGTCGCGAGAAAACACTTAGTTATTGTAGAAAGGCCCTGTGACTCGTCGGGAAAGAAAGGCTGTACACAGCAAATAAACAGGTTTAATGTCCACAATCCTATCCACAAGTACATCTAGAAGTGATAGAAAAACTCAAAATTAGAACGTTCCGTTTCTTTGCAAACCTCGAGGTTTTGGCGAAAATACTTAAAACAAGGCCACAACATAACACATCATGTACCAGTCAGGAATTTTCTCAACGTTCTCAACAGGTGTCTATTAACTCGTACACTTTACAATAAAACACCCCATACTAAAGTCACTTGATGGAATTACTTTATGGCCGATTTAATAACTTCCAAAAATCCAAGAAAAGAAAGCCAATTGATTAGTGTATCGCCTCAGGCAAGAATAGCCACTGGAAACACGCAGAGAGAATTACTCTAAAAATTAGAGGACTACACCTGGGGGCTTCCTCTCTCTTTGGAGATTTCTGCGTAATACCCCGCCCAGGGACAGAGCAATGAAGGGCATTAGACAGCCCTGTTGAGTTAGCCTGTACACAGCCCGTACTCTGTTAGCTTTCGACTATGTCTATGATAGATTTTGCAAGTGTAAAATATGTAATGAGGACGCGAGCGAATCGAGGGCGGAGCACTCACCCCTTGCGCTCGCGGTCAATAAATCCCGTGCGGTGCTCGGGGACCTCTAAAGAGAAATAGAGGGTGTGTGATCAGGCTATTTCGAGGAGGCCAAGCTAAGGGGAATCAGGGGGATTTGGAAACTCAATGAGGTGGCTTAAATTCAGGTTTACAATTCAATTTGAAGTTACCACTAGCTGAACTTTACCTCAGGCTTTAGATACATGAAAGGAGCCTGCGAGCAAGCTCTCCACAGAGTGCGCCTGCTGCTGTTTCGTGACCTTTTTCCCGACTCCCCCAAACGGAGAGCTTGCTTACAAACAATATGGAAGGGGAAGAATTTCACTGGTTGAAACAAAATGAAAGGGCAAAGAAATCTGTCGTTTCGCACATTAAAAGGCCTTAAAGGGCTAGGAGACGCATTTTATGGCTGTGAATACAGGTTGATTTCCACTGACGCGTTTTTGGCTACGCACGTTCACGCACGTAAATTTTAATCACGCAAATAATGCAGAGGCAAGATATAAAGCGCTGAGATTAATCGTGAAGTTGAGCGAGGTTCAACTGTTACGCTTACGAGCGACTGTTGATGCATTGCCTCTATTTTATTTGCAAACGTAAATTTTACGCAAGTACGCACGTAAAAATTACGCCGCAGTGGAAATCAACCGTAAGTCGATTTTGTCCGGGTTTATTCATATTAAAAAAACAGTGTATTAATTACAGTTTAATGGGTTGCAGAGTTCTAAACTACAAGGTTTGTAAAAGGGATACCAATTGTCAATAGAAAGCAATCGAAATGGGTACCTTTTCTGCAGGGTGCAGCCTCCTGGTCACAAATTTTCTTGAGTATATACCTCCCCTCGGGATTTGACCTTTTTGAAATCCAATACCCAACGTAGTAAGCGTTTCCAATCGAGTTATTGCGCGAAAGTTGGAGGGAGGGCAAAAAGAAAAATGGAAGGGGCAGGGAAGTTATACCAACTTTGACAACTTTGTCGGTGAACTCGGCAGGAAGGCTTGATCCGTAAGCTTGAATTCCAATAACTTCTTATTGGACCAGTCAAATTGGACTGTTCTGGTGCTGGATCAGACAGAAGCTTAAGTTTACCATGTTATCACAACCTTTCGCCACTTTTTTCTTTCATGAATCTACGGTTGACCTTTGAAAACGACGATGATTATAGTAAAACGACTTTTACCAGTTATCTATGATTTTCCATATTTTGTTTAAAAAAACCCTTGTCATTTAACCCGGCAATATACTTAGGTCTATTTACCATTTAATCGTGGAAAAAAATTGGGATCAAATTTGGACATTGAAAAAGATATTGAATAATTGAAAATAAGTCACTTGAATGAGATAAAAAATCCTTGCAGAGAAAGAAGAACTATAGAAAAAGTAGCAAGCATTTATGAAATATAATCCATATACCCAAGAGAGTATAAAAGCGAGCCTTTATCCTCTCTAGACTGCAAGACAGTCGGTTTTTTTCTCAAAATCAGTAAAGAAATAGGTAAAGCGTGGCGTAAGAGTCTTTAGCGTCTCTCCCCAGTCTCGCTCTCTGTTTTCAGCCTCGTTCCAGACATTTTGTTTGACATCCTCGGAGACCCAGGGGCAGATAGTGGGGGCGAGGGAAAGTCTAAACAGACGGGAAAATATGGCACAAAAGAAAAGTAAAGAACGGCTCTTCTCGCCGTTCTTTTCTTTTCTTCGTGCCTTATTTTTCCGCCCGTTTAGACTTTCCCTTGCCCCCACTATCTGCCCCTGGGTCTCCGAGGATGTTTGTTTGACTGCTCACGTGTACTTGAATACGCAAAAATACGGACTGTTTTACAGTCTATATCCTCTCTTGGGAAGATAGATTATCCGAAAGTCCAGCCAAGCTCTTCGAATAACCATTTAGATCTAGCTTTTCTTACTTTACGCTAGATTTTATATGGTGTGTTTCATTTTTGAGAATCCAAGTCTATGTAAGCTGGTTTTGTTTGCGACAGTTAATACAGTAAATCCCCCCCACTAACAACGTGGATTTTTCCAAGTGAGTTTCTTTTTAAATGGCAGTTAGCAACAGTTTAGACTATTTATGATCGCAGGTTACACTAACGTCTGTTGAACCGAAAGACTAACCTGCGTAGCGCAAGCGTTTCCGTTTGGTTTCGGAGCAAAAAGAGACCATGGAAGGGGATTTTCGGTTTTGATCCCGCGAGAAATTAAACGAGAACCAAAAAATAAAATGCTTTACAAGTGCCATTTTTCGCGCGGTCTTCGACTCCTGCTCCTCGTTCTTTGCTCCTAAACTGCACAGAAACGCTTGCTACGCAGGCTACCGAAAGACCTATTCCTTTCCCATATTGTTCTCAAATATCCCTTGGAGAATTATCGCAGAGCCAATCAGGGCTAGTTAGTGGGACAGGAACGCGTGACGAACCCATAAGAACGTCTGCGGGGGAGGCTAAATACATTGTAGCTAAAAGGATTTAGTGGTTCAGCTTATTTCTCATGTAAAATCTGCAAACTACATTGTAGCCTCCCCGCAGACGTCCGTTGGGGTTCGTTTGTCACGCATTCATGAATGCGTGACAAACGAACCCCAACGGACGTCTGCGGGGAGGCTAACTACATTGCGGCATTGGCATAAATAATAAGGCATACCTTTCTCTCCAAAGAAAAACTTGGGTCCCCAGTCCGCACGGGTTTTTGAACTCTCCCCAGATTTCCCTCACAATGTGTAATCAAGATGGCGGCCATCCATTTGTGAATCCTTCAGCTCTTGGTTTCGTCTTATTTTCCCTCGTGTTATTTGATTAAAACTTCAAGGTCTTGTTACTAAAGGTAAGGCAGTCTTACATACATTATGGGTACGTTAGTTGTGATAGTGAAATGCTGATTCGGTACTGATCACGAACAAGCTGATGACTGAACTGTCAGAACGAGACCAGAGACTATAGACGCACATTTATAAACTGTGTGACCTTGGGCTTCCTTTGAGCAAATTTTCCAGGTATAAAAGAGTTCAACTGAGTAAGATGGTTTTATATTTTATGCTTTCAAGTATGTTACGTTGCTTGGTAGGGGAAAGATACGTTTTGATCGACATGCCATCAAAATATGAAAAGGTTATGTATAATTATGGTTGAGGAAACGACATACATACATTTATTATTACTCCCTAAAAGCGCTTTTCAGCACCAATATTACAAGACAAAAAAGTAAAAAAGAATAATAATCGTCAACTTAAATAAATATAGTGAATGTGTAATAATTAATATATTAATATGATTTGCTTAAATATTCTTTAAAAATACATTGTTTAAAATTGTCATAGCTAGTTAATGTCCTCAGGTGCTTGCTTAATCCGTTCCAGATTTTAACCCATCTATAGGCAAAACGACGTTGACCAGTTGCCAAGCAGCAACAGGGAATATTAAGGTTGTTTACAGATCGTGTTACCTTAAAGGATGGCAATGTAACTCGAATGCTGACTAAAGGAGTGGAAGGCGATTGGCGAGACAACAAATTTACAGTACCACTCAAAAGGAAGTTACCAGTTGCGTCTCATTTCCTGTGTGACGAGAATTGTGTAGCACGAGAATCATTGATGCGGCAATTTTTGGCATAAATTGTTGTTGACACATTTGGCGAGAAATTAACCAAAATTTTCTCGTAGTGTTACCTCAAAGACTGACGTAGAAAAGGTTTAGATTTTTGGTCAAGTTTATTTCAAGAGGCTTTGAATGTTAAGTTGTCAATCACACTGCACACTGTTTGATTGGAGTTCCTGACTTTTGGGATTTGTTAGCGATTGACATTCTACTCTACATTTGATCATGATGTTTGGTTTGAAATACCAAAACGTGAAAGCCGCCTCTAGTTTCTGTGATTTTTTGGAATGAACAAACCAACATGAAAAGAATCAAATATACTGCAAATTGCTAGCGATGAGTCTCTCAACAAAAAAAATGTCAGCTCTTGTGGTGTGTTGTAGTTCATGTGTAGTGGCAACTTTCACCGACAAGATATCAACAGCATCTTTATTAAAAATTCAACTTGGCTTACAATCACGAAATAATGTTAACTTAATTTGTTCTTTATAGCTTTTAACACAACTTTCTGCTTGATTTTTGAAAGAAAATTGTCTTGAATTTAACAAATTACAGTTGCCAAAGAAGACAACTGTTCATTCGCTGAAAAGCATTTTTTGCATAACAGTAAATCACAAATCTGCACAGTGTCAATACATGTGTAATTTAAAAACCTACTCCTTAAGTACTGTTTTTGTATACTACACATTATGAAAACATTTAGTTTTCAGTGATTCGACAAACTTACTGGCTTAAACTTTAAAAACAGCTCAATGAACTGTCTGGTTTTCAAATATCCAATATAGATTTCTTCTGGTAGAGTTCGCTGGAACATCCATTTGTCTAAAGGAAGTCAAAAGCTATGACAGCACTTTTGGAAGCGTTGCCTATCAGTCTACGATTCATTTCAGCTTGAAGCGTTTAACAAAACCTGCAGGAAGTTACAAGTGGAGCTACATTTTGTATCATCCCAAAGTTTTTGGAAAAAAAAAAGTAGTTTTCAAGGTGGTGCATTGGTTCTAAAGTGACTTTTTTAAAAGCATGTTTTGCACAAATACGTAAATACCAATCCTCTACAAAGTGAATTATACGCAACAGTCTGCAGGATGCATAGGTAAGAATTTGTATGCATGTTAGCCCTGGTAAAGCTTTACCTTTCATTCTTGGAATCGGTTTAGAATTTTGGCAATGATACTTACAGTTATTAGGCCATGGTGCTCTACGTGAATCGCATAGCACACTACAGGAATCATGTAGCATGCGAAGCACACAAAGGGAATCGCGTAGCCCACAATGCAATTCGCATTTCGCGAGAGGCTGGTAACTTTCTTTTGAGCTGTACTGAACCCGTATATTTGACAAAACAGTGTAGATGATATAGGCAAGATGACAAAAGTGTCAGAAAATGTTGATCAAAATAGAGTGGCAAGATTAAAACAGTCTATCAGTTGAAGCATTTTGCAAAACTCTCACTTCCCTGAAATTAGATAGTAAGGGTGTCCATTTTTAAAAGAGCTATAAACTAACATTTAATCTTTGATATAATTTAACAATGAAACTTTGTTTGATCTATCAAAATCATTATCGAACAACTCTATGTGCTTTACAAAACTGCATTGCTGATTTCGTACATGAGAGTCAATACAAGTCAATCCATATATGCCCATGCTCAAACTTTTGTGATGAACAGTTAGTTAATCAGTTTTGGATGAGTTTGATTGTGTTCAATAATATTAATGAACTTAATCAAATTGTGGTTATTGACTCGATTAATCATTTTAATCAAGATGATATTTGTCATTTGTCAATTGTCAGTTAAGCCATGATGTTAGTGGCTACAAAGACTTAATGGGACAAGAGCGTTTTAATCCATCTTTGGTCGCAGTTATAAAGTCTTTTTAGTATACAACTGTACATGTATTGTTAGGGCCTGTTTACATGGGGGTGGGGGACCCCAGGTAGGTGAGGTAACCTGCATAGGTGGGGTAACAAAATAACTCTCCTTTATACGCAATCTTAAAACCCCACCATCCCGGGGTGCACTTTCTCAAGATTATTGAATGGTTGTTAAGCATGTAACAAGAAAAATGCTGGCAAACCACGTGTTTTGGTGATTAATGCTCTTCTACACTCACTTGCTGCTCCTGCTGCAACCTTCAGTGCTGTTGCTGTCTATTGATACCTTTAATAAGGCTGCAAAGCCACCACCAAAGTGAATTTTGCCCAAATTTGACGTATTACGAATCTGACCCCAACTAGGCAGGTAACCCCACCTTGAAACATTTACATGGCAAATTTGTTGCCAGCTGAGAGGGTTACGCTGGCAGACTGTGATACCCACCTTGGTGGGTCTCCCCACATAATTATCATGTAAATGTGATCAAATTAAAATGAGCGATTATATGGACAGGCAGATTACCCCACCTAAGCGGGTTACCTCACCTACCTGGGGTCCCCCACTTCCATGTACACAGGCCCTTAGTCAAAAATTTTAGTTGGTTTTTCAGTCATTTTATTGTTGTCGGTTTTTGTTTGAGTTGATCAATAGTCATAGTAAGTAGTCTGTAGGATATTATGTGTTGCATGTTGAAGAGTCCAAGTCAGTTTGATTGTTCATCTGTAAATGATGTTAAACAATATGGTTGTTGGAATCAGCATTTCCTTCTACTGGTCTGACCAATGCAAGTGGCCTAGCAGTCGCTGCTCTCTCTCTATCCTCCAGTCTGTGTTTGTCCTTGACATTTGTATGCAGTCACAATATAATCAGTTTGTGTACAATGCATAATCATGTTGTATGGTTATAGTAGTTAGTATAAAACAGTTTAAGAGGTGCCTCAGATGTGAAGTGCAGTAATTGTCAAAATGCTCCTGTTAGTAGAGGGTGGTCTGCTAAATACAGGTTTCACTGTTTCTTGTGATGGGAGCCTGCGTAATACACCCCCTCATCATACAGAAACCTATGTATGTCTCTTTGGAGTCCTTATTAACGAGGTTCCTTTCTTGTTACTGGAATTGCAGAAATTTAACTACAGCTGGGCCCCTTCACTTTTGTGAGAGAGGTCTGCCTTGTGTGTGTGTGTGTGTGATTTCTGCCCACAGGCAGGTCCTTCCATATAGTTCTCAATCTAAGGCGTGCCTTCTGACCACTAAATAAGGGCCGCGATCCTTTACTCTATCCAGCATTCCCACTCAAGTTCTTCCAGGTGGCCTTTCTTCCCTCAATAGCTAATGGGAGAAGATCACCATGGAATAGGGTATGACCAAGCCAGGCTCTCTGTCCTCTGTAGAGGTGCCCAAAAACCATAATTAGAGAAAGTTATCATCCCTCCTCTCCAGCCCCACTTTATTCTTCACACAAAATGAAAAAGTGATTGACTGTATTTATTGATTATGACTATAATACTTTATGTGGAGTCATTCAGTATGGTTTATTCAAGTGCTGGAAGTTCAGATTTGTTTTTTATCTTCAGTTGCACCACATCCCACCTCATGTGTATGAACATTTCTACTTTACATTTTTGTTGTAAAAAAATTAATTCCATTTTCCGGTTGGTTGGTTGTTTCCTGGTCCAAACAGGAAGTCAGAACTGTGACTCTAGTCTGTTTCTTCCTTCCTGCTATTGGTGATGGGTTTCGTTACATTAAGTAACCCCCCTCTCGGTATATCCCCCCACCCAAGCAACCTCAAGCTTTCTTGAAATCAAAAACCCAAGGGAGCAATTGATGGTAAATATACAGGTTCCACTATGCTGTATTGTCTGTATTAACGCTCTATAATGAGTCTTTATCAGCAATAATTATTGTAAGTTTGTGTTATTTTACAAACAACAGGGGACTCTCAGATCTGAATACAAAGTCAGCATTAGATTAACTGACTTCTGTAAATGAAATCTCCATTTTGAAGCAATCATTCAAATTTTTAGGTATGCAGTGAGATGGTGTATGGTTGGAAACCACCTTTTTCTTGAGCGGTTGTTCTTTACAATAATTTCCAATTTATTTTTTTAAATATCCCTCTCAACTTTTAAACTATTTGTTACAGACCCTTGTTTTCACTAGCTGGCGGCAAAGTTTTGTTCAATACGTTGCCCAAAAAAAAACAAAGATATTTACATTTACCTAATAATGTTTGTCCTTCCTGTTAAAAGGTACCTAACCATAACACGTTAAAAGAGGAACAAGCTCAATGTCCTTTGAGTGCCAGCAGTGCGGCAAGCGTTTTAGCAAGGCAGGAGACCTAAGGAAGCATGAAAGAGTCCATACTGGGGAAAAGCCTTTTGAATGTAAACAGTGTGGCAAGTGTTTTAGTCTAGCAGGAAACCTAAGGAGTCATGAAAGAGTTCACACTGGAGAAAAGCCTTTTGAATGTAAACACTGTGGCAAGTGTTTTAGTCTAGCAGGAAACCTAAGGAGTCATGAAAGAGTTCACACTGGGGAAAAGCCTTTTGAATGTAAAGAGTGTGGCAAGTGCTTTAGCGAAGCCGGACACTTAAGTCGTCATAAGAGAGTCCACACTAGGGAAAAACCTTTTGAATGTAAACAGTGTGGCAAGTGTTTTAGAGAGACTGGAAGCCTAAGGAGTCATGAAAGAGTTCACAATGGGAAAAAGCCTTATGAATGTAAACAGTGTGGCAAGTGCTTTAGCACAGCAACACAACTAAGGAGTCATGAAAGAGTTCACACTGGGGAGAAGCCTTTTGAATGTAAACAGTGTGGCAGGTGCTTTAGTCTAGCAGGAAACCTAAGGAGTCATGAAAGACTTCACACTGGGGAAAAGCCGTTTGAATGTAAACGGTGTGGCAAGTGTTTTAGTGGAGCAGTAAACCTAAGGAGTCATGAAAGGGTTCACACTGGGGAAAAGCCCTTTGAATGTAAGCAGTGTGGCAAGTGTTTTAGTCATTCGGGAAACCTAAGGAGTCATGAAAGAGTTCACACTGGGGAAAAGCCTTTTGAATGTAAACAGTGTGGCAAGTGCTTTAGCGGAGCAAGACTCTTAAGTCGTCATGAAAGAGTTCACACTGGGGAAAAGCCTTTTGAATGTAAAGAGTGTGGCAAGTGCTTTAGCGAAGCAGGACACTTAAGTCGTCATAAGAGAGTTCATACTGGGGAAAAGCCTTACGAATGTAAACAGTGTGGGAAGTGTTTTAGTATAGCAGGAAACCTAAGGAGGCATGAAAAAGTTCACACTGGGAAAGAGCCTTATGAATGTAAACAGTGTGGCAAGTGTTTTAGTCAAGCAGGAAACCTAATGAGACATAAAAGAGTTCACACCAGGGAAAAGCCTCATGAATGTAACCAAGCAGCAGGGCTGCAAATAACGGCCGGTCAACGGACAATGTCCGGCCTGATCGCGGACTTGACCGGTCAAACTCCGGTCTTGCCGGTCATTTTGACCGGTCATTTTTGGATACAAACACTTTATTTTCCATACAGTTGTCGCTTAATGCTCTATAACGCTGCAATGATTTCTTTTTTCTTTGGCGTTTTTTGCTGCTTTGCACTAAACCCTTCTAAGAAAAAGAACGCCGCAATAAATTAATTTCATGTCGTCATGTCGTAATCTAACGCAACAAAGTGAATAACAAACTGAGTTGGAAAGTAACGCAACGTTGCAAGTCGTACTGTACTTTCGGCTTGGCTGTAATCAGCAATGTGACCTTCTTTGGGAATTCGAAGGAATTCAGGCAAATCGATCGCAATTCTCAACAGGTTGTCCTGTGTTTCTCCGGGAATAAATGTTAGCGCATCGATTAATAATAATTTCGTTTATGTCGAACATGAATCTCGTTTGCAGACTCGATTCCAGAATGGTCTGATAAA